TGGAGTTGTTTGATCCTGATATGTGTACGGTGATCATGCCGCATGAAGCGAATTCTGCAAGCAGCGGTCATACAGCGGAACAGCAAGGACAAGATAGACACACACAGACACACACAGAGATGTTCCTCCTGGGACAATCACATGTCTGTATAGACTGTATACGTTTTGTTGTTTTGTTATGTAGTAGATAATATGTGGTTATACTGTCATGTAGTTGACTATGCATACCATTTGCTTGCATTGTTATGTAGCGTTTGTGTATATTGGAATGTAATTGACTATATATCGTGTTTGGTTATATTTGTATCTAACTGACTATATATCGTGTTTTGTTATATTGTTATCTAGTTGACAATATATAGTGTTTGTTACAGTGGTATGTAGTTGACTGTTTACAGTGTTTGGTTTAATCATTATGTAATTAACTGAGTATACAGTTTGGTTATATTGTGGTCGTTCAGTGGCTACGGAGAGAGAGACCAATCTAATGAATTAATATAATGCAAATGCACTTGTATTACACTTTGAAACAAAGGAACCATTGCTGAACAGGCATAAGAGCATTAGCTTTTTTTATTATTTTGTGGTTGTCATTACTTGCCGTGTATCTTATCGCATTCTGTAATGAACGCTAGAAAAAATCTACAATTATAATCGAGTGTATTCTTATAGATCTCAGATCGCCACCAACCATCAAATGTTGAGTTGTGAATTTGAAAGTTCGTTGTAATTTGTATGTTGGAACGAAAGGAAGTCCCATTCCTCTGCCAGTAATTGCCACCATACACCAATAACTGTGTATTTCATAAAGCTATCTGCAAATATATAAAATGAAACTTTGATCTCATTTTACAATAATAGACACATAAAGTCATATACTTTAACTTCAAATGGATGTATAAAAATGGCATATCTCACGAAACTTTATTGGCATTTGAAAAATATTATGTTGGGTTTGTGAACTGCACATAAACTTGACCCTGGTGTAGAGATACTCAACACATGGCTTCTTCAATAATGGCTTACATAAAAGATGATAAAAGCAAGGAAAAGAAACCTAAACTATCTTTATTTACTTTCACAGAATAAGGTAGCATTGAGCTTAAATGAGGACTTTTAATGATGATACTCCGTCCTTCCTAATGGCACCGACCGCAGCCTTACTGCGTTCTTTGACGCTCTATATTTCCAGTAATTTCGTTTAATTGTGTTTTTAAAGCTGTTCACCGATTTCTTGAAACCTTTGGAAATTGAATCATATCTCTAATCTGTAAAATCATAGTGATTAAATCACAAGCATTGTTAACATTGGTACATTATTGTACATTTGGTATATTATTGGCCGAAATGGTACACAGTTATAAGTCAAATTTGTCAACAAAAGCTACGATGATGGGTAAATCAGAAACACTGGCATCTGAACACTCATAGACTGAAATTACCCACCAGTAAATGAGTGAGTGAGTGGTTTACGCCGCTTTTAGCAAAATTCCTTCAATATGACGGCGAGGGGTACCAGAAATGGGTTTCATACAATGTCCGTATGTGGAGACTCGAACCCGGTCTTTGAGCCTTTAGGCTACCCCACTGCCTATCCTTAAAAACATATTTGTCACTGCGTGATCAATACAGTTGTATTATTAGGCGCAAATACTGTTGTATACAGAGTCGCAGTCAATCCATTTTAGCAAGATTCATTTGAATCATCGGGAAAAGTGCAGAATCTCACGTACACTTAACAAGAGCAAGATGGAGAAAACCATTATGACCGTTATAGATTATTCCTTAATTTTAAAATCCTCACATCGTTACTTCAGATCAGTATAAAATGGAGACGTGTAAATACTGATAGTTTTATATTTTGTGAGACATTCAACGGAAAATGTTAACTGAACAACTCATATCTGGATTATCCCTAATTTTCTAAATATTTTCCTAACTTGGAGGGTTCTTTGAACAATGTTAATGTACCAACCAATTTGCACCTCGAAATAAATGACGCTGTCGTGTATATCTACAGCATCAAAATTTGGTAACAGATTTTATGGCAAAATTACCGCGTGTTGGAGCTGAATGGGAAAGTTCCGTGGGGTTCTCAATGACTCCTCAAGGAGTAAGGATAAGGTCCAGTGTAAAAACGTCACCGGTTCCTCCTTATTTCCTGGCCTCTAAACACAACTTTCAGAAAGAGCCGAGTTGTTATTGTCGTCAGTATACGACGATGCAGAAGATTTTAATAATTTTCCTGTCAGAATCTCCTGTGGCCTGTGGGGCGGTGGGGTAGCCTAGTGGTTAAGGTGTTCGCTCGTCACGCAGAAGACCCGGGTTCGATTCCCCACATGGGTACAATGTGTTAAGCTCATTTCTGGTTTCCCCCGCCGTGATATTGCTGGAATATTGCTCAAAGCGACGTAAAACTCACTCACTCACTCACTCCTGTTGCCTGTGAACAAGGATCCGATTTCCTGAAGGGACAGTAGATAGACCGTCATATTAGTTATATACAACAGCCGATAAGTGACCGTTCTTACCAGTCTCAGCCTCCCTGCTGTCAGAAACGTTCCCGCTCCAATGACCACAACAGTTCACGAGATGACTCTTATAGAATATACAAATCATAACTCCAGCCAGAGAAATATCTATCGTTTTTAACATTAAAAAAAACAATAAGATAATCCTTTTATACGTTTTAGGTTAGGCTTGATCAACATACTGGTAAATGAAGGAAGACGTTTATGTTGAAAGATGTGAGAGAATGTGGCCTCTGTGTAATTTAGATGTGGAAAATGAAATTCATGTTTTACTTGTATTTCCTTTTATGTGTCCTTGTATGTCCACGAAGTATAAAACTGAATATTATGTATGTAAGTGTTGTAACTATGGTTATAACATGGTCATTTTATGGACGCTTCATTGTGATCATGCTTGCAAAGGTTGGTTGTGGATGAGCGTCCATCTCTTGTCTGTTGTATTTGAGGTGTTTTGTATCAATCGAAGTTCATTGTCAAACTGACAAGCAAATTATAATAAAGCTCTCGTACTATATTAATTTTGCTCTTACTAAACGTAATAATTTGGTATAAAGTCTTGTAGATCCATCGTAATTCACTGTTTGTAACGTAATTTACTGCCTCTAACACGATTCGATGTTTGGAACAATAATTACTACTTTTTGTAACATTATGTATATATCATGTTTAATTCCGATGTATATCTGCCGGAGGTCTTTTGTACAGTAAACATCTTTGACTCGACACACTGCAGGTGCAGTCTTACTACGCTTGGGAAAGAATGTACCTTTTCTGAACCATGAACAGACGTACACAATCTGTACGTTTTGAGGCTCTTTACACATTTTGTGTTTATATACAAATACTTCTACAACAGCGACATCGAAGTGCATGACAATAAATATTTACACATCAAAACGACAAAGTCTTCAATGACAACGTTTAGATAAATACGAAAGTGGAAACAGTTTTTTGCGATTTAGGATATTTTCTCATTGAAGGGGTAACATTTCATGACATGTTTATCTTTATGTAATGGTTCTTCCAAAATGCAACAAATGATTAAGAGAAGAATGGAATTTGTAAGATGTGACGTTGTGACCGAGACACAACACTGGCCGCAACAACCTCTTGGTAGGGGAGTGATTGGCTCCACACAACGAAGGCATATTGATTTTCAATCAAGGCTTTGAACAACTCTGGCTAACATTTTTAACGAAGGCGAAAGCTAGTATGTTGTAACACATCCACTCGATCAATACACGAGCTTTCTCTTATATCACTGTAAGAAAGAATTGAAATTCTATTATTTGAGAAAAGCATCGCAAAAGCAAATCGAACTGTTTGCAGCCTAATCTTTGTTTAAGAATGGCCACGGCTAGCTGCTTCCACCTCCTGCATCATGGCCGCATTCCTTCATGCACCAGGATTCATCGTGTACTCATTGTCAAGTTCCACGTTCCCCAGGTTTGGGTAGACAGAGACAGGCCTTGACGATCTTGATTGCTGTGTCTTGGACGGTTGCCATGATGCCAAGAAGACACCGGGACCTCTTGACCAGGATCCCAAATGCAATCTCAACCACTCTTCTCTTGTCAGGAACTGATGGGAGGTTTGTTTCACCTGAAGGGGAAGGCATCATCTGCAACAATGAAATGGGGCAATTTACCATAATTGTTTGGAAAAGGTTCTGGGTCTGGGAAACCAATAGTTCTTTCCACCAGAGCTGGCTCCACCGCTGATCGATTGTACAAGAAAATAATCTGTTGGTACCAATGTCAGCACCTGGGAACTTGTAACCCAAGTTTAACACCCAACAAGGCGATGGAAAATAACCCTTGTAATTGTAGAACAGTGTGCTACTGTGTTTGGGGTTTTTTTTATGGCCTCATGCCTGCCAGCAATCGTGCCACAGCAATGATGTAGGTTCCAGCGGTCTCCGATTCTGTCGTCCATGTACACAGTAACAATGGCCCTGCACACTTGTGGCACAAACAAAGAGACCATGTTGTGAGCAAGCCTTAAACTGAAGGAGAGCGAACGGTAACTCACCCCAGGTAGCGCAGGGTGGTAGCCAACTTGAGGCTGGGTGCCACTGATGTCCTCCCTCTGCAACACACAGAAATGTGAAAATAATAGAATGACTAACACATAATCGTAATTTATGTTTAAAATGTTTTTTGCAACAACAAAAGTTTTCAATCACCATATATGCATATAATCTTACTCTGTACTCTTTTCGATTCTTGGGCTAACATGCCGGAGCGATTCGTGGAATATGGGTGACTCCATCCTCATGAAGTTCTTGAAATCACCATGATGCTTCCTCTCTAGCTCTGCCATCAAAGTCTTGAACAGGCTGTATTCGGGACGACGCAAAAGCTAAGGCCGGATCCACCACTTCCGTTGATGCAGCTCTAGTCTTGGTACCTTTCTTCTTCCTGCGACAACGCTGCTAGAATGACATCCTGATGGTGTGGGGCTCTGGCATACTCCATACGGAACCGGGCACAGCAAGTGGAGTGGGTCAGGCAGCCTGATGCTCCTCTACCCATTCGGACCAGTAATTATACCCCGGACCATGCACGTCAAGATTCCCAGAGTCTGAATGATACCTGCTCCATGTTTGTTCAGACTATGGTTGGTCACCTTCCGACTTAGTGTAGTCGTACGGTCTACGAACGGGTACAATCTGAGTATTGATCGATTCCCGGCAGACAGCCTTTCTGTTATCCTCCGGTGACCATACCACACCAGCACACTTGAAACATTCCCTCGTGGTCTGGCAGGTGCCTGTAGGGTCACTGGTGCCACATCCGTTACTGACTCTGAGTTATTTTCTTCCGTTTTGTCCACGATGTGTGAACGGAGTCTTTCCGATGTCAAAAACATACGTCGGGTATCTCTCAATTTTGCTGATTTTCAGTCCAGCCAGGCATCATAAACTAAACTCTCATGGCTAAAATGGATATGTGACCCAGGCATATGACGTCAACAAGTTAACATATGGCTGCGGTATAGGAATGGATTTTTCCGTAAATAAACATGCCTTGTCACTGGTGATTTCTGAACGGACATTGACGAATATTTGGAGTTGTTTGATCCTGATATGTGTACGGTGATCATGCCGCATGAAGCGAATTCTGCAAGCAGCGGTCATACAGCGGAACAGCAAGGACAAGATAGACACACACAGACACACACAGAGATGTTCCTCCTGGGACAATCACATGTCTGTATAGACTGTATACCTTTTGTTGTTTTGTTATGTAGTAGATAATATGTGGTTATACTGTCATGTAGTTGACTATGCATACCATTTGCTTGCATTGTTATGTAGCGTTTGTGTATATTGGAATGTAACTGACTATATATAGTGTTTGGTTATATTGGTATGTAACTGACTATATATCGTGTGTTGTTATATTGTTATCTAGTTGACAATATATAGTGTTTGTTACAGTGGTATGTAGTTGACAGTATATAGTGTTTTGTTATATTGGTAAGTAACTGACTATATATCGTGTTTTCTTATATTGTTATCTAGTTGACAATATATAGTGTTTGTTACAGTGGTATGTAGTTGACTGTATATAGTGTTTGTTACAGTGGCATGTAGTTGACTGTATATAGTGTTTGTTACAGTGGTATGTAGTTGACTGTGTATAGTGTTTGTTACAGTGGCATGTAGTTGAGTGAGTGAGTGAGTTAATATTTAACGTCACATCGGCAATATTTCAGCCATATCGTGACGAGAACATTTTACATTGTAATGGAATATGTATATATTATAAAACCTGTCATCGAAGGACAGTAAAGCAACTAGAGTATCACAGATATATATATGTAAAACTAGTAATTGAATCTAAAACATTTTAACCATAGGGGACAACACAATCTAAAAATGGGCTATAGATCGCTGACAACTGAAGGTAGATCACCATACTAGGGACCATGGGGACTTACAGTACATTTGCTTCCTGCATGGGCCCTAGCTGGATTTATATCATCCCCTCAGCCGTTAGCAATTTAGACATATCTAGCCATACATTAAAATTACAAATATTCTACGATTAAAAACGGAAAGTTGAAATTTACTTTGAATGTTTTGGGACTTACGTACCCTCTCAGGAGGACAATAATTTTACAGTACTTTAACCCCCTCGAGGATACAGCCACTAACAATCTATGTTACTAATTCAAACTTCCAATCATAAAATATTTAGCTATTTACAAATCTGTTAACAAATTTAATTCTTTTTAAAAAGCAATAATTAAATGAGGACTTATGTTAGTAAAAAGATCCTTCATAGTTCGGGATTTGAAATATATATCCCTTGTGATGGAGAACTCAACACAGTCAAGCAAGACATGCTTGACCGTGATTCGTTCATCACAAGGGATACAAAACGGAGGATCCTCACCTTTTAATAGGTACTCATGCGTATATCTAGTGTGGCCAATACGACATCGTCGCATAATGACCTCTTCAAATCTGGACTGACAACCCAAGTAAGTGTAACTGATATAGGGTTTTATTGCATGTAATTTATTGATACCTACTTGGGTGTCCCACTTCTTTTGCATCAGATCACGGATATAAGATCTTATAGCAGCTTTGTAATCAGAGTATGGGATCAGAAGTGGTGTCACAGATTTGTTGAGTGCTGCCTTAGCAGCAAGATCGGCCATTGTATTCCCAGAAATGCCAACGTGGCTGGGTAACCAACAAAAGACGATGTCGCATTGGCCTGTTCCAAGCGCATTATACAATTCAATAATTTCTAATAAAAGTGGATGTTTACAAGAAATATTTTTAATAGCCTGAAGGCAAGAAAGTGAGTCAGAAAAGATGATATATTGTTGATATTTAGGGTGTTTTTTAATATATTTTAAGGCTGTTAATATGGCGTTTGCTTCTGCTGTAAAAATAGAGCTGTTATCTGGTAAACGAGAAGAGATGGTTCTGGATCCAATGACAGTGGCACATGACACCGCGCCACCACCCTTGGATCCATCTGTAAATAAGGATTTATATGTATTATATTTACTTTTTAATTGATGATATTCTTGTATATATTGTAATTCATTAGTTTCTGCTTTTTTAAATGCTGTTAATGTTAGGTCAACTTGTGGCCTAACCAATTGCCAAGGAGGAGAAGAAAGAAGACGGGAAGGAGATATATTTTCCAGCTCAATGCCGGAAGCAGCAATAAATGGCTTAATTCTGAGCCCAAGAGGCGGAACAAGAGAAGGTTTTTTGTTATACAAATCCTCATAACGGGGATGAAAGACACAGTGAAATGCAGGATTAGTCTCGTTAGAATATAATTTCGTAATATATTGTAAAGATAATTTTATACGGCGTTGGTTAAGAGAAGGTTCATCTGCCTCGACGTAAAGACTGTCAACAGGAGAGGTTCTAAAAGACCCAAGACAAAGTCTTAGGCCTTGGTGATGGACAGAATCCAGTAGTTTTAGGTTGCTTTTGCAGGCTCCACCATATACGATGGAGCCATAATCGAGTTTCGAGCGGACCAATGATCGATAGAGGTGGAGGAGGGTAGCTTGATCCCCTCCCAACTTTGAGTTGGAAACAACTTTCAACAAATCGAGTGCTTTCAGGCATTTGGCTTTCAGTGATTTAATATGTGGCAAAAAAGTTAAATGGGAGTCGAAGATTAGACCCAAGAATTTGGCCTCCTTCACAACTTTGATGGGAGTGCCATTTAAAGATAGTTCTGGATCTTTATGCAGTTTATATTTTCTACAAAAGTGTAGACAATTAGTTTTGGATTTGGAAAATTTAAAACTGTTTTCAAGACACCATTTATTTATTTTATTTAAACACAACTGCAATTGCCGTTCAATAGTATGCATATTTTTACCACAACAAGAAATGTTAAAATCATCCACAAAAAGTGATCCATCAATGGAATCGTTTAAAACCTTGGATAAACTGTTAATCTTGATACTAAATAAAGTGACAGACAAAATACTGCCTTGAGGGACACCCTGATCCTGATTGTAATGATCAGACAGGGTTGAACCCACTCGGACTTGAAATTGTCTGTCTTTCAAAAACCGTGATATAAAAAGAGGCAAACGGCCTCTCAAACCAAAGTCATGTAAATCCCTCAAAAAGCCATGCTTCCAGGTCGTATCATAAGCTTTCTCGAGATCAAAGAATATCGATACTGCATGTTGTTTATTTACGATTGCATTTTTAACAAAGGATTCTAATCGTACCAAATGATCAATGGTACTTCGATTTTTCCTGAAACCACATTGAATATTGGTTATAAGGTTGTTGGTTTCAAGATACCAAGTTAATCTATTATTCACCATACGTTCCATGGTTTTACAGACACAGCTAGTTAGAGATATTGGTCTGTAATTAGACGGATCTGTATGATCCTTGCCAGGTTTTGGTATTGAGACTACAATGGCATTACGCCATGAAGGAGGAAATTCTCCAGACGTCCAGATTTGGTCAAATATATCTAAAAGTGTCATCAGACATGGTTCAGGTAAGTGTTTCAGTAGCTGGTAATGTATATTGTCATCACCCGCTGCAGTGTCATGAGCTTGCTCAAGAGCAGTATGTAGCTCATGTAATGAAAACACTTCATTATAATCTTCACCGTTATTGGAGTCGAAATTAAGTTTTGTCTTTTCCTGTTGTTTCTGATATCTCTGAAACTCAGGGACATAATTTGCCGATGATGAATTTTTGGCAAGGGTTTCGCCAATTTTATTTGCAATGTCAGATTTATCAGTTATCAAGTTATCACCATCTTTAAGATGGTGTACAGCTGATTTTGAACCTTTGCCTTTTATTCGCTGAACCATGTTCCAAACCTTAGACATTGGCGTGCGCGAATTAATTTTTGAGACATAATTTCTCCAAGATTGTCGTTTGTTTTGTTTAAAGGTACGACGCGCCTTTGCATTGAGTATTTTAAATTTATTTAAGTTATGGACAGTTGGATGATGTCGGAAATAACGCTCGGCCTTTTTCCTAGCTTTCCTGGCTTGTCTACAATCAGTATTAAACCATGGTTTTCGTACATGTGGTGTCGTAGAGGACTTGGGTATACACTCATCAGCTATTTCATTTAAAACGTCAGAAAAAGTTTGAATGGGATCAGTTATATCACTGAAAAAATCGGGTCGCAATTTCGATTTACAATTATATTGAAATGAAGACCAGTTAGCCTTCGAAAAGTTCCATCTTGTGTACGATGGAGAATCAGATGGAGTTATTTCTGAAAGGATAGTTGGGAAGTGGTCACTTCCACACAGGTCATTATGAACAGACCTATCAAATTCATTCAAGAGGTTAGAATCTGCAACAGATAAATCCAAAGAAGAATAAGTGCCAGTTGCGGGATGCAGATAGGTGCTTGAATCATCATTAAATATGCACAGGTCATTATTGGAAATGAAGTCTTCAATTATTTTACCTTTAGTATTAATGGTAGAACTGCCCCAGAGTGGGTTGTGACCGTTTAGGTCACCCATGAGAACACATGGTTTCGGGAGTTGATCATAGAGTGATTGAAGATCAGTCAGCTGAAGTGTTGATGAAGGTGGAATATACAGAGAGCACAACGTAAATGCTACACCAAGAGTAAGTCGCACTGCAACAGCTTGGAGATTAGTGTTAAGAGTAATAGGGCTGTGAATAACATTCTGTCGTATAAGGATAGTAGAACCTCCAGTAGCTCTATCACCTGGAGGGGAAAAATAATTATAGTCTTCAAACTGGCGTAATTTAAAATGGTCTGTCTGTTTCAGATATGTCTCTTGCAGACAGAACGCTGATGGTGTTAAATCTTGGACAATTAGCTGTATTTCATTAAAATTTGTCCGGAGTCCCCTACAGTTCCACTGCACGATATTGGTAGATAAACCTATCTTTTAGGCGGATTAATTGGGGATCTACCCCCGCACTGTTTTCGAGGGCGACAAGCTATGTGCCCTAGAATGGACGTTTTCGGACACGTCCATGTCCTCAAGTGATCCGTATTTGTTATATAACTGAATTATATTTTCCGACCCTTTTGGGGCTCTGCCACTTTGTTTTTTGAAAGCATCAAGCTTCTGTTTATGTTTGCTTTTAGCAGTTTGCTGAGTATCAGATGACGATTGAGATTGTGAACGTGACTGAGTGAGTGACTTGTGATCTGAAGATGACTCTGCCTGCCTTTCAGATGTACTAGGAAGTGATTCCGTGGTTTGAGATGATATAGCAGGATATAAACACTGTGGACTGTCACTTTTGACCCAAGTCAAGTTTGTTTGACAGCTTGTGGATGATGTAGATACTTTAGGGCTTGATTCAGTTGGTGTTTTGGTTATTGAAGCATAACTTTCTGTAAGTTCAGAGCTCTTTACAAGTTTTTTTGGCATCAGAAAAACTGATGTTCTGGGTGAATTTGATCTTGTTGATCTGCATTTGTTCTTTCCAAATCGGACACTCTTTTGAGAAAGATGAATGTTCTCCTGAACAGTTGGTGCATTTTTTAAAGGTACTTGTACAATCTTCAGTTGTGTGTGTCTTCTTACCACAGTGAGCACACACAACGGACAATGTACAAGTCTTTACACCATGGCCAAACTTCTGGCACTTAAAACATCTGAGCGGATTGGGAATATACAAGTCAACCTGGATGTTGCAGTAACCTGCCTTCAGTGATTTGGGAGCTGTCGGATTAGAAAAGGAAAATAGATAAGTGTTGGTTGGAATAGTTTCATTGTTTTTACGGGTTGAAAAGCGTTTGACGTACAGCACACCTTGGTCTTTCATTTCAGTCACGATATCAAGTTCTGACATGTCAGCAAATAGGCAATCACGGTCTCTGACGATACCTTTGCTTGTATTTAATGTTTTGTGAGCAGAGACAGTAACGGGAACGCCGACGAACGATTCGGTGCTCATCAGGTTGGCTGATTGATGTCGTTTAACACATTCAACGAGCAGCGCACCTGAGCGTAACTTTTTAATGTTCTTAACATCTCCGGCTATACCCTGAATACCCTTAGATATGGCGAAAGGGTTCAACTTTAACGGTGTCTTGTCAACAGTTTCAATCACTACAAAACGTGGCCAAAAGTCAATAGCTTTGGACGGTCTGAGGTCATCGTCAATAGGATCAGTGTCAAGAGGACGTTTGGTTTTCTTTGTTGGGGTTTCATAAGCCATGTTTTAGTTTTGAAATTTCATCATCCGAGCTCCCCACCCACCACGGAGTATCACAAAGGACAATGCTAAAAACAAGTGGGCCTCCAACTTGCAGCACCAAGGATACTCGGATGATATACTCAAGCAGAAAAACTAAAATAATAATTTTTCCACCGGATTGGCCCATGAGCCACCGCCTTCTGCGCATAAGACTCTAGGCAGATTAGAAAATAGAAGTGACTCATTTGGAATTTAAATACATATAACCATGAAGCCAAAACATATGATACATTTTTAAATAGTTTCCGAAATTTGTGCAGCACACTATACATGCACAGGGCTTGGCATGACCAGCCGATTGGTTGAACCGGGCCCATTCAACCACCCGTCTAGGTGAAGTCAGGGCCAAAGTGGTGTGTTGGGCAAAGGAACACTGTTCCTGGAACCAGTGCCCTCAACCACCAGAATCCCTTCCTCCACCGACACAGGGGCGCAACCCACGGCCAACAGGTTGGTGGACCAAATATCCCCCCGGGTCCACAACGGGGGGTTGAAAGGCGCTTAGCGTGACCCAGCACCCACCACGAGGAGGTGGCCTTTCATGGGTGCCGGCATGTAGTTGAATGTATATAGTGTTTGTTACAGTGGTATGTAGTTGACTGTAGATAGTGTTTGTTACAGTGGTATGTAGTTGACTGTATATAGTGTTTGTTACAGTGGTATGCAGTTGACTGTATATAGTGTTTGTTACAGTGGTATGCAGTTGACTGTATATAGTGTTTGGTCTAATCATTATGCAATTAACTGAGTATACAGTTTGGTTATATTGTGGTCGTTCAGTGGCTACGGAGAGAGAGACCAATCTAATGAATTAATATAATGCAAATGTACTTGTATTACACTTTGAAACAAAGGTTTAGCTTTTTTTATTATTTTGTGGTTGTCATTACTTGCCGTGTATCTTATCGCATTCTGTAATGAACGCTAGAAAAAATCTACAATTATAATCGAGTGTATTCTTATAGATCTCAGATCGCCACCAACCATCAAATGTTGAGTTGTGAATTTGAAAGTTCGTTGTAATTTGTATGTTGGAACGAAAGGAAGTGCCCTTCCTCTGCCAGTAATTGCCATCATACATTAATAACTGTGTATTTCATAAAGCTATCTGCAAATATATAAAATGAAACATTGATCTCATTTTACAATAATAGACACATAAAGTCATATACTTTAACTTCAAATGGATGTACAAAAATGGCATATCTCTCGAAACTTTATTGCCATTTGAAGAATATTATGTTTGGTTTGTGAACTGCACATAATCTTAACCCTGGTGTAGAGATACTCAACACATAGGACTGGGATGGCTTCTTCAATAATGGCTCACATAAAAGATGATAAAAGCAAGGAAAAGAAACCTAAACTATCTTTATTTACTTTCACAGAATAAGATAGCATTGAGCTTAAAAGAGGACGTTTAATGATGATACTCCGTCCTTCCTAATGGCACCGACCGCAGCCTTACTGCGTTCTTTGACGCTCTATATTTCCAGTAATTTCGTTTAATTGTGTTTTTAAAGCTGTTCACCGATTTCTTGAAACCTTTGGAAATTGAATCATATCTCTAATCTGTAAAATCATAGTGATTAAATCACAAGCATTGTTAACATTGGTACATTATTGTACATTTGGTATATTATTGGCCGAAGGAAATGACCAGCAGTTTCTACTAATTCATCTGAAATGGTACACAGTTATAAGTCAAATTTGTCAGCAAAAGCTACGATGATGGGTAAATCAGGAACATTGACATCTGTACACTCGTAGACTGAAATTACCCACCAGTACATGAGTGAGTGAGTGGTTTTACGCCGCTTTTAGCCAAATTCCTTCAATATTACGGCAAGGGGCACCAGAAATGGGTTTCATACAATGTCCGTATGTGGAGACTCGAACCCGGTCTTTGAGCCTTTAGCCTACCCAACTGCCTGACACCTTAAAAGGTTTCCTTAAAAAACATATTTGTAACTGCGTGATCAATACAGTTGTAAAATGCCGTGGTATACAGAGTCGCAGTCAATCCATTTTGGATTTTAGATTCATTTGAATCATCGGGAAAAGTGCAGAATCTCACGTACACTTAACCAGAACAAAATGGAGAAAACCATTATGCCCGTTATAGCTGATTCCTCCATTTAAAATCCTCACATCGTTGTTTCAAACCAGTGTAAACTCGAGACGTGTAAATACTGATAGTTTTATATTTTGTGGGACATTCAACGGAAAATGTGAACTGAACAACTCATATGTGGATTATCCACTATTTTCTAAATATTTTCCTAACTTGGAGGGTTCTTTGAACAATGTTAATGTACCAACCAATTTGCATCTCGAAATAAATGACGCTATCTTGTATATCTGTAGCATCAAAATTTGGTAACAGATTTTATGGCAAAATTACCACGTAGGAACAATAACATGTATTGTTAGTAATTGTTAGTAAACTTACCTCTGGATTATGGTAGCCTTATTCCCGTGGATTCACAGAATACATACAGAAAATCAAAAGAAATTTTAACACTTAGGCATAGCCATTCTTAGTGGTATTCCCAATCTACCCCTGAGTTATCTCCCTTGATCCCGACGTCACTGTATTGTAGAACCCTTCATAATTTTTCTAAAAAACAACACATCAATGACATCTTCTAAGAATAAATTCGCGGGGAGGACACAGGGTGGGAACTACTCCCCATAATGCAGAGGTAAGTTTACTAACAATTAGTAACAATACATGTAATTGTTCCTAATTATAACGTAAACATTCCCTCTGGATTATGGTAGCCTGAATCCCAAGAAAGGAAGGAGGGTTACACATGGAAGATACTACCCTCTATACCACTAACTGAGAGTTGATTACTCAACCTCCTAAGAATAACTATGACTTACTCAGAGATAAATAATTTACCTCCAGTTTGGTCAGTAGGAGTGAGGGAATACATTCCCAGAGATGGAGAGACTTCTAATTTCCTATAGTTATGGTTGATGTGATAGATATCATGATTATCCTTATCCGTATTAGTAGGAATTATATAATTCCTGACTCCTTAAATCCGGATTATGCTAGATTCCTATGAATATATCTTGATTCTATTCGAATCCCGAATTGTGTCATTAAACCTAATATTCCTTAAACTTATGACGTCACTTCCAGTAATTATGACGTCACTTCATGCTTGATGACATCACTTCCGCTCTAATGACGTCACTTCCGGTTCCTAGAGATTCCGGTCTTATAACGTCACTTCCGGTCCTATGACGTCACTTCCGGTTAACTATCATTAGACTATAATTGTGTTCAACTCAACCTTAGGTAACCACCTCATAATCATATTTCAACGTGAAGCCATCAACCATAGCTCAGAAGGTAGAACTCTGTCCATATTGTGCTCGGTTCGGTGATATATCTAATGTAAATTCTCTTACCATGTCAACTTGTCCTGCTACATGCTGTTCATTGACCAGTATCCATCCATCATCCTTCCGAGTGGACCTTCAGACAGTCCCAGGCACCATCTCACACTGCGTCATCCTTCCTGAAGATGTAGATGCCGGGTCAAAACACACACACACAAACAAACGGGCAGTCCGGCGGAGGCAAGGTGCTGAGCCGCTACTAAAGGTACTAATGAATGTAAAACTTCAATAGAAGGAGCAACATCCCTGAGGTAAAATTGGATTAAGGTATTTAGAGATTTCAGTTGACAACTAGACACAACTTGTTCTAACGGAACTGACGACCAAGCCACTACGGATGAAGCTAGGGCTCTAATGTCATTTGGGGAGAATTTAAGATCAATTAAGTTTTGATTCTGATCCTATAAGCAAAATATATATTCTTTCTGAGCCATGAAGATATGGTATTCTTGGATATCTTCGAGTCTACATTTGTTTTACATGAAACAAACAGTCTGCGACGATTTCATCTAAACGTCGAAGTACGCTGAATGTACCAGCGCAAGGCACGTAAGGGACACAAAAGTCTAGTCCTATCCGATCTAGAGGTAGAGGTGGGAATATATCCTATGTCCCAAAGGACCACAAGCTGAAGCTTGATTCTTGGCAATGAACTCCGACACAGTTCTAAAAGTTATATGTTTATATCCTTCCGAAAAAGTGATGGATTTACAGTCAATAGCATGTAATTCCGACTCTCTGGAAGCTGTTGCAAAAGCCAAAAGAAAGGCCGTCTTAAATGCCAGATACTTTAGAGAAGCATCCTGCATAGGCTCATAAGGAGATTTTTTGAAGATCGATATCCCTCAATAGTATTATGCTTCAAATGTTTCTGTTCTCTTAGGAACAAGATAAAATCCACTCTCGTCTTCACTGGATGAATCGTCGCCACTTAGCGTCGTACAAGGCAGCTGTGGAAGGTCTAACGGATTCTGAAATAGCTCTTGTAGCTTCAAACGTAAATCCCTGATTCATGAGTGACCTTGAGATAGCTTCCATACGTGTAGCGCAAGTTGCCTGACATTCTTGTGAACTCTGTTGGACAAAGTTTACCGGGGGCGCGGTGGGCGAGCTGGCTAAAGCGCCAGGCTAGAGATCCAGCGAAGTTGAAGGTGCCGGGATCGAGCCAACCTGTGACCGGGTGTAAAAAAAACCTTGGAGTCAACTTTGTGTGCAGACTCTTTCAGCGTTGTCACAACCCCTAGAGTACAGTACACAACCCTGTGCACTTAAAAGAACCCACGAATCCGTTGGTATATGACCAGATGGTGGCCCCATGAATACGTGCAAACACCTAGTTGCGGGTACAGCAACGTGCAGTGAACTTGGACAAAAAACTGTGACTGTGGGTCCGTGTCCACCTAGCTGTGAATTGGATGAGAAAGCCACAATAAAACTCGGTGCACCAAGTGGCAGCAAGAGTTGTATACTCTAGAGATTGACAATACGATGTGACGTTGAGATTGACATCCAGTGATCGAGGGAAACAAATACCAGCACCTTGAGCAAGCACTTGTTGCATGGATATATAAATATCATATAATAATAATTGGGTTGACTGATTAGATTGTGCCACAACGGAAGACGTAGAGGTTTGTCCACCAATAGTTGTAGTAGGGTGGGAAACCAAGGTCTGGCAGGCCATGCTGGTGCCACTAGATAAACTAGACAGTCGTGTTGTTGAATTTTTAACAGGACCTCTGGGATAAGTTTGAACGGAGGAAGCGCATAGGCTATCATCCCCCTCCCATGATATGGATAGGGCGTCGACTGCCCATGCCAATGGAGGCGGTACTGGACTCGTTGGTATACTAAAATTCCTCGAAGTCGCAAATAAATCTGTTTGGAATTTCCCACTTATGTCCTATCAAATCGAATGCCTGTTCCTTGAGAGTCCGTTCGGTCGAGATCACTCTGTCCTGCCGAGATAATGAGTCCACTACGATATTCTGCCGACCTGGAATGTGTCACGCTCTGATTAAACAATGTTTAGCGTCCACTGCTTGATACAGATCCTGAGTGATCCCGAGGAGCTGTTTCCTACCTCCCTGTTTGATGATGTATGCTACTACCATAGAATTTTCCGACACTAACATGAGACTCTTCCCGTACAAGCGATTCCCCAAGCAACGAATTTGCCAAATGTCCATGTGTGCACCACAACCCGTGTTCGAGGCATCTGCATAAAGTGTCAGATCCGGGTAAACGAGGACGCAATGAAACTCCTGGCAACACATTCATGTCCACCGTCCACCATAATATCTCCCTTCGGACTCTGTCTGGACAGGCTACGAGCAGTTCCAAGTCCTCCATCTGAGACTGATTGAGCCAGATCTGTGGGATTCTTAACCTTAGTCTACCTCTTACCGTATAATCCTGGATTGAAGTGAGAG